AGTAAAAATGCCGGCAGGTGGTACCAAGCACGTGAAAACAGATAGCCGATGCTAAGTGCAAAAATGCCGGCAGGTGGTACCAAGCACGTGAAAACAGACAGCCGATGCTAAGTGCAAAAATCGGGTTCAAAGCACGCTTGGGATAGTTGGCGTTGCACTACGAAATGTACTTGTGTTGGTAAACCTGTACCAGCTTCCGTTTTAGAGCGCATTTCGATTAAGCGTCATAAAGCCAAAACCAGAGCAATCACCAACTCCTTTCTTATCGTTTGCATCTTCACTTATTATCAAAGCGGCGAGATTACCTACCCGTAACCATAGGACAATCCCAACCCACGAACTTGGCGCCATATTGGACCCTGGAGGAGGAAAAGTATAAACAATCCTTCTCAATAAAATGAAAAGCGTACGTGATCCGCTCAAGATTTAGGACTCTTCCATGACCTAATTTTGGACTTTTATGTTTTGAAAAAAGGCTCTCCATCATGCTGCATAACTTTTCTTCACAAAGGAAACAACCGAGTACAAGTTGTAAGAAAAGAAAGAATCCCTAACAAAGATTCACTGAAGTCGTGAAATATTATTTGGTTAACAGTTCTCAAAAAATTTGACTCTGGAATTAACCCTTCAAATTGTTTTGCGCTTAGCGCTTTTCGAATAAGCGTTTAAACTAAAATAAACACGACAAGACGAGTCAATCAGGACAAAGGAAGACATCACACTGAAAGAATGAGAGCTCAATGGCCTGAAGCGCGGGAAAATGTGGGTAAGTAAGTCCCGTTTGGTTTTTGTTTAACACTGGATGGGTGTATAAGGTTTTGCGTGCTTCCCAGGCCAATCTCTAAGCGTAACGAAGTAAAACCACAGCAATCTTGCATAACTTTGGCCACCTAATTCAATTTTTTTTTAAAGTTTTCCTTGACCTCATACTCCTAAATAACTCGCTCGTTCACCTCTAAAGTTGTCAAACATTCCAGGAACACCATTATTGCAGGGAGGTCGGGATGATCAAAACTGTCGATACACCGAGTGGATTGATAAAGAAACGATGACTCCACTGCTCCGACACCGACTATTTTACCATGGCCAGGACTATCGGTGAGGAAAGCACTGGATTTCTTAACTGGCGGGATGCTGTAACAAAACAAAACAACAAAAACAAAATTTTTGAAAAAAAAAGGTCTTAATGATAATAAATAGATGCTTATAGGGCGCATTTCTAATCTCAATCTCAATCAGGTTGCGCATGAAATTTGCTAGCAATCAAATGAGTTCTTTGTTGGAGAGAGGGAGTGCTATTGCAGAGTGTGCTATCCTAATCAATGCGCAGGTCAGGGAAGGCAGGGTGTAGACTGCATGTGAGACTGACTCTTAACTCAGTTTCGTTAGCAGGAGGTAACTAAAGCATTGCTAGTCCGTCCAGAGAGGATCAAATTCAACCAACGAGCAACCTTTGGTCACAATTTTCCCGTTCGTCAGTACCCATTTATATCCCTTGTAGGAGAGAAGCGCTCTGAGAAATAGGTGCCTTGCTTAAGAGACAGCACATTGACTCAACCGGGGTGCAAATTGGAAGTTTTCCATCCAAAGTCCAGTGCCACTTTAGCCAAAGAGTCTCTCAGTTAAAAACTTGGGAACACAGTTTCGTGTTTCCTACGAAAGACTGGATTGAGGATCGAAGTTAAAAAGGCGTCTAGGCACAAGCGAGTTCGCAGGGAACAGAACGAGACAAAAGGGCCAATGATACCAGACGATTTAGACGGTTAAAGCCATAAACATTCATAAAATAACATGAAAATTAGACATATGCGAATATATAAAAAAAAGCTGTACTTCTTTGGTATTATAGCAGAGGTATCAAGCAACAGGTCTGTTTTCCATAGCACATGCGGATTTGCCGGTAATCTGTTCACATCGGCTGCCACGTGAACACGTAAGTTTGCAGGCTGCGTCAAAAGAGATCGAAGCTTCTCAACTTTTTCGATGACCTGAAAATAAAAAATAAGAGAAGTTTCTATTTGAATGGACTATTTTCAAACTGTACTGAGAATTATAGCCCTGGGATTGGGCCTTACGGCATACTTTGGACCGGGAACTTGGATTTGGGAAGAAAAATTTGGGTTGCAAAATGGGATTTTTAACCCCCCGTCCCCCACCATCTCGTCCCGCCTTAATGACCTTTCTACCGAAACGAAGGCCACACATTGAACTCTATGCCAAAATGGACTAAGTTCCATGTGTCCCAAAAAAGCTATACATATTTTATGTTAGCCGGGTTATTTTCACCTTGTTACTATTTGAGGAAAATGCCCTGCCTTTGTTATGGCATCTACAAATGGTTAGACATTTTAGTCTTATCGGAGATGGGCGAAAAACCGTAGGCCCCGTCTCTCGCATCTTCTCTGTGCTGGCTAACAGGGAACGTTGAAGAACCCACACACTTACCGAAAAGAGATTAACTCCCGGTGTTGAGGTTTGGCCTGGATTCTAAAATTAGGGGCATCTGCAAACATTTCCTTTCAGAATTGTTTCAACTGTTCAATGCAGTCTGGCCAAAGTCTCTAGCGTGAGGTAAAGCGCCATTAAGTAATGAATACGGCGCTATAGAAAAACTTCATTATTTTTATAATTACTGGAGTACATTGACATGCTTACAAACCTTGGACGCGTCATTATCAAGGTCCGTCATCAACTGGTTCAGGAAACTGTACTGCCTCACCATGTTGGCTGAATACATATTACTTTCTAGCAAGAGGGACAAAAAACATTTCTTACTGATACGGAAATTCTAACAATACGTCAATTCTACGGCATATTATGGCCATGAAGTGCTAAAACTAATGCATAATTCCTAAGTATCACTGTCAAAATGTTTATCGCATAATTCCGGCAAAAAAAAAAAAAAAAAATTAAAAAAAGACTAAAGCTACATGTACGATCAGCGTGTGCCAGGCTTCTATAAGATTTATTATGCGACATATTTTTTGAGCCACTTAATGTTAACTTTACCTTTTGTAAACATAGTGTCTCTAATTAGAGCTTTAGTCACAGTTCGTCCTTTTCTCTTCATGCTGGTGTGAAAAGAAACCATAAAGTGAATAGTCTGCCTGTACTTGCAAAGTTTTCACATGACCGTGTACATGTGTTAACTGAAGAGGAATTGATGTCAAGTCTAACACCCAGATGTTGCCCAGGTGCTAGGCGAAGAGAGGCTAGTGCCCGGTGAGTATGTGGTCAAACGCACAAGGGTGATAAGGCAAGCTCTTAATCTTAGATCAAAACAAAAGACCATTATTTGCGCTAACATTCCAAATAAACTTCCCTTCTAAAAAAACCTGTGTACTCTAAGAGAGTCTGAACAAAACACACAAAAACAAAAGAAAACTTCGTTGATAGCACTTTTACTCCTTATTTCCAGCATTCTCACCTCGCCACATCATTCATCATCTTTTTCCCCACAATCTCGAGCCTGTCTTTCGTGAACTGAGTCTTGTACAGCAAATCCCGTAGCCAGCGGATTCCCTTCTCATACTTCTCCACTTCAAGCTAGAGTGAAATTTCGCAGGAAACATGTATAAGATTATTTCAAACAGAGTGTAACGTTTCTGACTCATTGTAACTTAGAGAGACGGTTTGTTAAGTAAACAGACTGTAGTTTCAGGTGAGTCATCGAGAGATGTTCATAAGTGGGTTGTTTGAATTATGACATATAAACACTTTTAAAAATCTCCGACAAGATGACACGTTTGACTACATTGAAGATAGTCTAAGGAGCGGGATTTGTGTGGTAAAAAGGCTAAGGGGAGATTAAACTTCGTTTGATTTAGATGTGGTTATTGTGAAGCACAGGAAAGGGCAAAACTAAATAATATCTGTTTTTTTACCACTAACCTTTAGTGTAACGCAAGCAAGTTGTGGAAACTCCTCTGGCATGAATCTGCTTCCTTTAAGTCCTAGAGAAGACACGTGGTCAAGAGTGTCTGCAGCAAGCTCTGCTACCACTTGCTCATGCGGAATAAGAACTGCAATTCAAATAATTGAGAAGCTAAAAGAAATTGAATTCATTAAAGTATTCTTTACAAGGCATTTTAACGGTTCATCAGATATAATCGCCATCTCATTTGATAATGACGATGAAGAAAATATTTATTCAGCATCAATTCAGCAAATACCAAGGTGCTTCCCTTGGGACGAAATCACAGCTAACGGTGTTCGCACCCTGTTTAATACCCAGCATACTTTTCCATATTGCAGTGGCTTTCATCTAACTGTGGCGATTTTATCTTTTCATTGTTTTCTACCTTTCTCGGGGATGGTAGATAATAGGTTGTGTCAGACGCGTTATTACACAGAAAACAAAACGTAAAGCCCGTATGAGATATGTCATATGCTACCCTTGATCGATTACAGTAAAAGTGAGCTTGCGTTCTCGAGTACAAACCGGATGAAGCCTCGTCTCGTATGTACATGCAATTGAATCAGATTTTAATTCTATCACAACAATGGTGTGAGGAATCTTGTATGTGAATGCACGGTTGCATGAAAGAGGAAAAACCTATGTTTGTGCTAAAAGTCAGGAAACATACGGTACCTCCGTCTCTTAGCAAAGGAGACTCGAATATCACTTCTAGGTACAAGCTCAGGTAAGGTTTGAGTTCCTCTGGTACAACTGCTGTGTCAAGTAAAACAGTTAGCTGCAAAGAAACACAGGGAAGCATAATTAATATATTTTAAGGAAAACAAACCACTTCACACTGGTATTGTACTCCTTCAAAATGTGACGTATTGCTATTGCCCCTCATGTCATGGTGTTACTTAAAAGAAATGGAAGCCCTTAGACCGAAGTGAACGTTACAGCTGAGATTCATTTAATAGTTCGTTCCTTCATTTGCATACTGGTTCGTTCACTCGACTCATAGTTTGCTCGCTCGCTCGTTCGCCAGTTCGCCCATTAGTTCGTTCACGTGTTCACGTTCGCTCGTACGTTTGTTTGCATGTTCGTTCCTTCAGTTGGTTAGTCATTCGATTACCAAATGGTCCTCCCACCCAAGATAGCTTCTTTGATACAGAAATTCACAAACGAGTGAGCCTGAGTTTAACCTTTATCAGGACTGAAGGCATAAGAAAAGGTTTGAAAGTTCTAATTTTTCATCTTCAGCTAAAGTATAGCCCAGGAGAACTTCACTCTTTTCCCTGTGGATTTCTTTCAAAAGTATCTACAAGTTGCTGGAATTCTAAGCCTACCTTAGCAAACAATGTGGATATATGGTCCAGCTGGAAAGAATATGGTATCTCTGCTACAGGAAACTTCTTTGCTTCACTCTCAGAATCATGGCAGCCATCTTGCCGCCTGTTACTGAACATCTTAATTGGATGGAAACTGATGCTGGATGTGGAGGGCACAGGAAGACTGTTCACTATATCCGGCGGGGGAGCTACCTACAAGTTGAGAATAGAGAAGCTTGGTACAGATGTTTTTTTTTTTTTGGACGCGAACGGCGACCGAAAGGTGGGTGCAAGAGGCTGTCAATAAGTTTCAGAGTAGAAGTCACATAAGAAATAGAGTGGCTGGGTTATCATAGACATCAAGCGTTTAACGAAGTTCGCACGAGACCTACGAACGAATTCTGAACGTCGGATCGATTTACATATGTAAACCTGCTACTTTTAAATTAAGCCGGCATTCAATTCCCCTTTAGAAGTGAGAAACGGCTGCAATAAAAATTTCCTTGATGGTATTCAAATGATTGAACAATTTTCCATCAGCAATTGTGGTTCGAGGGGGTAAAAAAAGCCGACTACAGAAGGCGGTTTTGGCCATCTACCAGCTTTTGGCGCACTCTGACATCGATTAATCGTTTAGATGGGGCTGTTTCAGCTTCGCAACCCAGAGGCTACAGAAAGAAGATCTGTAACAAGTTCTGAAGTTGAGTATTGGTAAGCATTTTTCTTAACTTTCTCCATAGAAATCCTTAGTGCGATGGGTCCTGGTGACGGCCGGTCACACT